ACAAAGTCTAAGGGTTTGACTACAATGTTTCAAAGTAACTAGTAATATTAACCAACTTCAGAAGTATAGGAATATTAGGTTTTCGTTTTAAGTTCTCCGTTAAGTCACGACTGTAACAGTTTTTCCTAGAACAGAAAATCAACATATTTACAAAGACTAAAAAAGGTATACATAGTGTTTCCTGGTACTGAAATAATTATATTATATTTGGATACTATATTATTGTCAATGATTAAGGGACTGACTGAAATACGAGCACATGTCAAAAACACACAAGTAGTATAAACTTAGTGTATACTTAATTTGTTGTATTTACATCAACGTGTGTATATGCTGATTTCTTTCATTTAAAGTTACCACAGAATACATAATGATTTTGCATATTACAACATACATGTATTTTTGTAAGACTGTATAACACATAGCCTTTTAAAAACCTCAAGGGATAGCCGCAATGAATGTGATAAGACATTGTCAGCTGTCGATGTGTTAAATTTCATGGTTGTTTAAATGCAGTAAATATATGTATACCTGAATTAACTCCAGCTTCAAGCATATTACATTTCCTGACACTAAATGCATATTCTGCTTGTAAACCCCTTCCCTAACTCTGTGTTTAAAAAGCTCTGCTTTTTTTTTTCCTGATTTTAATACATACATGTATACATGTAAGCTCATTACATATACATGCATGTATAGCAACTAGCATGTCTGTTGATTATCTTATTCCTGTCTTCCCTTGGATTTTTTTTACGTGCACATGTAATTGTTTGACACATAAACTTTTTGCTTTTTGTATGGTTCTTATGTTTTTCTTGACAAAATACAATATTTAAATTCCTGTGGGTTAGATGCTGACGATATGTGATGTGTGTACTGATACATTCTAGGTCAATTAACTCAAGATAGTTTGTATAAAAAACTGCCTCTAAAAGAAATATGTGACTATATTACTAACTTACCTCTGATCCTTGATTTTGTATTTGCTAACTCACTAGCCTCTTTCGTATTTTGCTGTATGTATAACTGCATGACTTTGTAGGACACATTCCTACGAGTAATAGTAACTTGTAAAATGTGTTATTGCTAAACATCTTGCTTGAACTCCTCCTTGTGAGCTGACACCCCTCTTCAAGTAATAGTTCAATCCACATGAAATAAATACTAGTAATTTTCTAGATATTCTCCAATAGGATTGAGTGAATATACATGTAGGATGGTCTTTTGAGATTTGTTATTTCTGTCTGTACTGTTATCTTGTAAACGCCTCTTCTGCGAACAATCCAGCTGTTCTGATTTAACCACATGATGTCTTCGTGAACGTAGGATGTAGCATGTCTGTTACATCACTTGCAGGCTGCCGTGGCAACAGTAGTGAGATTTATACATCAATAACTCCACAAAAGTTCCATGATAGTCAACATGGCAATGTTCTACGGTGATGACAATTATGATGTTTTGTGGGAGATTGATTTCCCAACTGTATGTATACATTATTATTTTGACTGGCTTTAAACTAATGTTCATGTACATGAATGTATATACAACATGACTTCTTTCTACGGTTTCACATGTATGTGTGTGGTTATGTGAATGGGTTTGAACTAGTATGTTAATAGTATTTATAGATTACAATACAAAATGGTATTCCATTGCACAGTATATGATCTAAATATTGCACATATTGAAGACCTACTGTCATTGCCAACATGACTAGAAAAATGTGAACCTGAGAACTTTGAAAGTATGTGCTTTTACTGGGCAATAGCATGTTCATTGGACATGTACATGTTTCAGCAAAATTCTTTCTCGTGTTGACAAGTGTGATACTGTTACATTTTAGAATTGTTTTATTCATTGCGACAAGCCATGGGCCTTTCATGTTACATTTGTATAGTGCTATAGAAAATATACGTGGTTAGTTGAGGTACAGAAAATAGTAAATTAAATATTTGCCAGCAGTATTTGTTGTTTCTTAGAGTTAAACTTGCCGGGATTTTCTTGTGTCCAAAAATGTTTAGTCTTTATTTAGGAAATACATTTCTAAAATGTTTAAATATCAAGAGACATAGTTTCCCTATATCTTGTGTAACGCATGCATTGGTGGTTATCGGTTCTTTTATTTAATTTTATTTAATCTTAGTATAATTAGAAACACAAGCCTGCCATGAATTGGCATCTCTGAACTATGTTATTTGATGCCATTATAGTATGTCATATGTGATGTAAATGGTATTGTAGATGATTTCTCGCTCATTAATTTTAACTGCATGGAGTCTTGAAAAAGTAGAGCTTTCCTTTGTCATAAACTGGTACATGTACTTCTTTGAGGCCTGTCTGTCTCTTTAACAGATTACATGGTTGTAATTGTATATGATTCAGTAGTGACTTTTGCCTTAGATCTCAGTTGTAGAGGTGAACCTAGTATCTAAACATTATTTACTTTCATTGTCCTTAGTAGTTAATTCACACTAAGTGATTTCTTCAAATAGTACATGTAGCAGTAAAATTAATATTTTACGAAAGATATAAAGTTCATGCAAGCTTATCAGTCACTAGCGAAAAACATGTATTAGCTCTAAGCGTAGATTTTGTTTCCAAGTATCAATCTGTCCATCAATGTTTCAGAACTCGTTTTTGTACAGACATTTCCGCTTATGCTCCACACTTTCTCTAGATGATTTTTATTAAACTGACAAACACTTACAAGCACATATATGTAAACATTATCTTTTTTTAATTAAAATGTATTTTCTATAAATATATCAGACTTCATTGTATTCCTGTCCTTTGTATTGCTTTAGTTAAATATTACATTTTTTTTAGAAATAATCTTTGATGTTTATTTGATATATGGTTACTTTGTTAGATTAACAGCATAATAATATAACTCATGGGAGCGAAAAGAGGGCGAATAGGATCTGCATAATGGTGTTATTATCTGTTATTTGTATATTTATGGTTTTTAGGAATTAAAAATGCATCTTGCACTGGCAGAAAAAATACATAATCAAATAACTGAGATACTGGTATACTTTGTAGCAAACCTGATTTATGTATTATGTATGGTTATTGTGGACTTGCATTTTGGGTTTGCTCTGTCTGTCTGTTTGTTTGTTTGTCTGTCTGTCTGTTTGTTTGTTTGTTTGTTTGTTTGTTAATTCTGAGTTGTCAACTGGTGGTCATGTATGTTTTATTTTCATTTGGCCCATCTCTTTGACGAATTTTGTTTAAATTTGTTGCAAAGACAGGACAATCATTTGGATATTCCTTTCAATTGTTATGGGGTTTTGAATAAATTTAACCAACAGGCAGCCATTTGTTTTATTTTTCAATTGATTTTGCCTGATTCAGGTGAGACATAATGAGTTATGTATCCTGCCAATTTCATTTTTGTTTTGTTGAAATTTCCTTGACATCCTACCATTTCCATTTTGTGTTCTTAAATGTCAATTTTGCCGCATACAAAAAGGAATTATGTTATTGACAGCAGTGAATTGTGTCTACAGTATTAAATTTAACTATTTTACAAAGTGTAATTGACTAAAAACATGCTAAAATCGTCCAAATTTAAATTTGGACATGATATTCTCTGAAAAATGTTGTTACTCAATGCTATGGGCTATGCATATAGATTTCTGGCACTGTAATGCAATAAAATTGTTATGTGGCATAAGTTTAATAACTTAACAGTGTAAAATATAGCCTCATATTATATTACAGATAGTGCTAGAATCATCTGTAAAGTTAAGGATAATTATTACCAGATGGTAATGTAGCTCCTACATTGTAGTCTTAGAATTATGTCTGCAGTATTTGTTTTGAGGCTGTTTTGGCACGAGATGTAATGTGAGTGATATAAGTAACAGTATTGGTATTTGCTAGATATCCACCTTGGCAATATCCCAACATTAGGTATCTAGCGAGCATTTCCATACATTCATTTGTGACTACTGAGTTTTCAGCATTTCAAATCACCAAATCTTTCGCAGGATTTTCTGTTCAACAAATGATCAATATAATTCTCTGTCGTCGCAACTTTCAAATTTAATTTTTGCCCAAAGTTACTCAAAATTTTAAAATGTGTCTGCTAATTTTTGCTGACAGTACAACTTTAATTAAAAAAATTGTCTGTTTGATACTCAATCCTACACCTCATACTTTTTTACTTTCCAATTATTTATACTATTGTGATATCAGATTACACTGTTAATCTACACATGTAGGTGTGCTGAAGTTAACATGCATACAGGCCTTAAGGATATAATACATAATGAATGATGTCTTCTGACACTTCGATTCACCAATTCTATCCACACATTTTGGGATTCAATTTATAAAAATCACAGTTTAATGCCAAATTATAATTTTGCATTAGTGAGCATTACATATATGCAATACATTATGGAGGGTTCTTCCTAATTGTATCTAATAGAAAACTATTATCAAACTGGAAACTATATTAAATTAAATATTATAATTCATATCTATAGTAACATATGACTTTTTCATCTCATTTTAATAACAGCAAAATTTTAAGATTTTTAAATAAATAATTTTACCAAAAAAATCTGTGTAAAAATGCTGATCATTTTTCATGATGTTTATTTTTTGATAAATTGTCTGGTGACCTAATGGCATTACTGGTAACCCGTAATATAAGAAATCATGAAGAAGATAACATAAAATCATCCCAAACCTTCTTAACATCGTACTAAGAGATAAATTTTCTGTTGAGCAACATTTAGATAGGTACATTATATATGTTACTACATGTATAAATTTGATGTTATTTTCAACTTTGTGTTCTATGACTTTGCTAGAATTGAAATGCTACATTTATTTAATATCAACTCTGGGATATAAACAACATAGTCCCCATAGTTGCATTCATCAGAGTCTTGACTCTAGAATATAAATATGATAGTCTCTGTAGTGGTGCTAGCAAATATACATCTGTTCCGTGACATAAATATTTAATTTTTTTCATCTGTTTGTAGCGCCCAAGAGAAGAAGGGAAGCCGATCATCATGGCAGTATACTTTGATCACAAAGTAGAAAAGCCGATTGCTGGCCCCAGTGTGGATATCGCCTGGCATAGTGTGCGACCGTTGTTAGCTGTTGCCTCAAGAGGCGATGGTGGAGGTGGTACCGTACATGTCTACAGGGAAGAGGTAAGTCACCTATGCAGATTTGATGTTCATTCAAAGTTCAAACCCTCTTCTTATCCATGTATTACTATTATATTACAAAATATTGTAATAAAGTTCCATAATCATATTCTTTATATATGTCATTAACTTTTTTTTTTTTTATTATTGTTATTAAGAATACAGTACGTATTTTGAGAAATCAACTCTTTGTTGTCTAACTCAAATAAAAAATGTTCGATGTACCGTACTTGCTCTATTAGAACTGCACATGAATTAATTAGAAGTTCACATTTATTATATCCTGGATAATTAAAATATGACTTTTCACAATATACACATGACTGTTATTATTTGTGTTAGCGCATATACTGCAATAGAGCCAATGCACTATTTGAATCTGCCATTCCACTTTTAGATTCAAAGTCAAACTAATATATTTAAGAACAGAATGTTCACTTATATTGGTTTGTGTACACGCTGTAAATTTGAAAGTATAAAAATTGAATTTTATTATGATTATGAAACTGCGGGTAAATAACTCTGAAGAAAGTCTGATAAAAAGCATTGTAGCAACACTAGCACATGTATGCCACAAAACAACCCAGTGTTGATATCTGTGATTAATATACCTGCGAATTACCATCATTAATATTATATGCATTCAATGATTTATTTAGGGGGAATTACTGGAGCATGCCACAATGCAGAGAGCATGTCCATCCATGTCATTAGATTGGCATCCAATCAGACCTATAGTGGGTGCCGGTTGGGAGAATGGTGAAATACTTATATGGAATGAGCAAGAAAGAGAACTCTACTGGGCTGAACATATTCATAAACATGAAGTGGTCTTATTGAAATGGAGTCCCAATGGCACTCGACTTGTGTCTGGTGATAAGGTGAGAATTAATGATGTAATATGTTTTACATCTATATATATAGTTTCTCTTCTCTATAGTTGCACTCTCTCAAGTGATTCAGCTGCTCATGTCACTCTTCCAACTCTTGCTTTGTCATCCTGCCTTTTCCCTGTCCTCAATGATTATTTTCAAATTTATTTCTGTATATAGACTGAATCAGTAATTTTCATAGATGCTTTTAATCCACTTTACCTCAGATTTTAATTTGCAAGAATATTATGTAATGATGACAATCACTGATAGCTTAGTGGTTGTTGCATTGGTAAAAAAAAAAAAATGCTAACGAACAATGAATAAACAAAGACTGAAAGTAGTATAATTTGAGATCTGCTACCTGGTTCATAATGTGACAGTATTTTTAATGAAATGTTAACTAAACTCACAAATAATAATATCCAACAGTAAATTATATGACTCTGATGTAGTCCTTGATAACCGTACAATTCAAGATGTCATAGATGAGTATCAGAAATAAATTGGATGCTGAAATTGAAAATAATGGTGCAGTGCAATTCTGATCCAAATTAAATGTGAATTACGTGTTACATTTTGTATTTAAAGCCTGCAGCTGCTTGTAATGGAATATTTAAATTGGGAATTTGAAAAAGTTGATATTTCATCATATTCTTATGTAGTAAATTTGTTTTCTTGATCAAATTTAAAAATTGAAATGTACTTCATAATATTTTAACATTCGCTACAAACGAACAACAGAAAAGTTCCAGGCAATTCCATGTGTCCGCTCCAAATAACGATGTTACCTGATTGGTGAAAATGACCAAGCCATGTTCTAAATGAAAATCTCTACAGAGAATAAAGATGTTATTATGTTATTCCCGATTGGTGGAAATAGGACTACCGGTACTTCACTCAATTATTGATGTCCCAAATATTTAGATTCAGGGATTTTTTTAAACAAGGGAGCAGATCCTCTGGCAACCATAAAATTCTGATTGACAGGGATCACATGTGGCCACTGTCTTCACCTGTGACCTGTCTGATAGTAATTTTGGCCCCAAAGAAGCCATAGAATGCTTCATTTTAACTTACAATTACTAAAAACTCTACATCCTAGTAGGGAGAACCCTATCTCCCCCACGTGGTGGCACCGCTGAATTGCAGTGCTCCCTCTTGCATTTTTTTTTAGAAAAAACCCTGAGATTTATTGGTGAAATCAAATAAGGAACATTTGTTTTACAATGCTATTTGTACATGTCTCTATACACAGTCTGCAATATCTCACATTCTTTATTTTTACTTTTCAGAATGGTTTGTTAGTGGTATGGAGAGCAGACCCAAGGGGTCGATTGCAACCCGGTCCTCTTAGTAAACATGAACTGCCACAAATATTAACTCAGTGTGTCTTTAAGCCTTCTGTTAATCCAGATACTGCTGCGTAAGTAAATACATCACTAGGGGGCCCTGTATAGCTAAGTTGAATGAAATGGAAAACTAATCATTGCCATATACTCCATAGCCTGAAATTTGTGTATGGACAAACGGTTTGAAATTGACAGTTGTCTTTGTTATCCAACACCTATTTTTTCATGGACAACCAAATAAGCCATAAAAATATAAATCCCACTTAGTATAGTCTATTGTAGTATTATCATAGTGATGACAATTTCACTGAAAATAAGAATAATTGGTTTTAGATGTTAAAATATAAAACAAGTACAAAGCAGAATTACAAAATTACATAAAAGACAAATCATTCACAAGTTTTCCAAGGCTTTTAATAATAAAACTCACTACTCATCATATATATCTATCATTTCAACTTGTTTCTTGTATTGCTTCTCTAGTGACATGGCTGCCTTAGCACGTGCAGCAGTTAGCGGTGATGAGAGTGCCTTAGATATGTTTAGTTGGAAAAAGGGCGGTAAAGGCCCTATGAAGGTATCAGGAGATCCCGATGCACAAACATGCTTTATAGGAGGGTCTGAAGGTAAGTAAACATAGGATGTGATTTTTTGACCAGTAGCTTAACTTTGATGTGGCTTAAAGATTAAATTTTTAACACATGCTTCCCCTAATAACCTATAAATATACAGTGTGTTTGTAAAATCCAACCAAATTTGTTTGACTAGCTTGACAAATTTCGAAAACAGGGAATTAAGGATTGACATCACACATGCTTGGTTTGATCCAGTTCAGACTTCACACATACATCAGACATTCTGTTTGACATAGGCACATGCATTTGTTTCATGATCCAAGATGGCAGAATGGCAGCCATTTGAATGCATGATAGAAATGTGTGATTTTGATGCATTTTTGGCATTCAAATGCC